TTTTTTTTGGCGGAACCAGGGATTGAACTCAGGCCCTAAGCGCTTATTCTACTGAGCTATCTCCCCGGCCCCTCAATAAAATTATTTTTTTAAATAGAAAAATAAAAGATATTCCCTTAAAAAAAATTTTGTCTTTCATCATATTTTTTAAAAAAGAAATTATTTCTATCCCTGGTGCCAGTTACACAGTAAGCACTCAATAAACATGTGTTGGATGAAAAACTCATCATAAATGATTGTTTTGTTTTGCTTTTTGTTTTTCAGAGAGGGTCTCACTATGTAGTTCAGGCTGTCCTTGTGCTCACTTTTGTAGCTCCCCAACTGGTCTCAAACTCAGAGAACCTCCTAGCTCAACCTCCCAAGTGCTGGGATTCCAGGCATGTGCCACCATGGCCAGTTCCAACTAATGTATTGGTACAGGTTCTCACTCTGCAGCTCAGTCAGGGCCAGCACAACATGTGGTGCCAGGGATCAAACCCAGTCCTTGGGCTTGCCAGGCCAGCATATAGACCACTGAGCTATTCCTTTGGCCCCTGAATCAATTTGTAGTATGGTCATTTCCTTCAAACTTCAGATTCCTAAAACAACAGTCTAAGAAGTTCTGAATTTCGTAACAACTGCTTTGATATCTCCATATTCATTTTTTTGCTTTCCTGTTTGTTTTGTATAAATGTTGAATGAGTGAATTATGACTGAAAAGCTAATGAAAACACAATGAAGACCAGGCTCACAAGTTTAAGCCCAGCTCCTGCATCTTATTGCAAGATCCTGTTTTAACACTAAAAAAAAGGCGGGGGGAGCCAAATAGCTCAGAGGTTTAAAGCTCCTGCAAGCAGGCAAAGGGGCCCAGGGTTCAATCCCCGGGCCTACTGTGCTGGCCTTGCCCCACCACCACCACCACCACACACACACTGAGATAGCAATTGAGACTGGGCTGATGGTGCACATCTGTAATCCCAGCTCGTAAGAGGTTGTAAACAGGCAGACCACTATGAGTCCAATCTAATGTTGCGACCCTCAACACCCTGTAGTCCCTTCCCTAAAAAAAAAAAAAGAAAAACAAAGAAAGAAACAAACAAACAAACCTGGGCATGAAGCTTAGTGAGAAAGCCTTGAGTTCAATCCGATACTAAGAAAAAACTTGAAGGGGATGTTGGTTGGGTTTTTTTTTTTTTTTGAGACAGGGTCTCATCAGGCTGGCCCTGAGCCCACTATAGAGCCCAGGAACAGCCAGGAGGAGATACTGGTCTGCCTACACAGTCTGCCACCTTGCCTGGCCCCCCCAAAAAAAATTTTTTAAAGCTCCCTTAATCACTAACAATAGCACTTTCGTCAGTAGAGGAATTTATACTTCTCTGATGAAATATCCTCAAATTGTTCACATAGAAATTAGTATGCACACACATTCAACTGAAAGCACACTCAAACCATTCTGACTTGTCCTAAATTGATAGCAGGTACACAGGCCGTTATTTGCCCTAATCATCCCGGTTAACAAACAGCCTTCACACCTGGGAGCCAGGTGTAGTGGTGCACTGTGGCCTATAACCCAAGAATTTGGAGAATCACTTGGAATTCAAAGCCAGCCAAACTACACAGCAGAACCCTTTTGAAAGAAAGAAGGAAGGAAAGGAGGAAATAAGGAAACAAGGGAAGAAGGGAGGGAGGGGATGAGAATCTGATGATGAAGGCATATTCGGGCCTGGCTCAGCTTCCTCCCGCCCGCTCAGGGGCAGCACTCCCGGCTCCGATGGACCCCCTCCCACAAGAGCCACGCCCTCTCCTGCGAATAGGTTAGTTTCCAGGGCTTGCACCAAGTAACCCCAGGAAGCACAGCTTCCCCGGCACTGTGTAAAAGGCAGATGAAGCCTGCCGGCAGGACTGGGCAATCGTGAAACACCTTGGGAGCACCTGGAATCAAACTTGGGGACCTGCGCGTGCGCCGCAGGCGCTTCGGCCGCCGCGCTAGCTCCCTGCCCCACCCCAGGACTTCTCACAAGCTGGGCCTGAGGATGCACGCGGGGATCCCGGCACTCTGGGCGGCGGAGGCAGGAGGATGGCAAATTCGAGACCAACCCACGTGGCTAACTCTGTGACTCGGAGAGGAAGACCATATCTCAAAATTTAAAATTAAGGAAAAATATCAATAAGGGCAGGGGGCGTTGCTAAGCGTGGCTATCCTACAGCCGGTAGAAGAAAGGGGGAGGGGGCTTTCGACAAGCCCCGCCCAGAGCTCGCCCCCCCCCCCCGGGGCCTCCGGCGCCAGGGGCAGCCGGGAGAACAGCACCACGAGGGGTCAGCCCCGCGCTGGGGTCAAAGGTCACCGCCGGGCTTCCGGGCGAGCAGGGCGGAGGCGAAGCGGAGGGGGTGCCGGAAAGGCAAGCCGCGGGAGGACCGGCGGGCTCCCCGGGCCGCGGCGCCGGCCAGGCCCGGCCCAGCGCGCCCCTCCCGCAGCTCGCAGCCCCCGCCCTCCCTACGGCTTCGGCGTCCTCGGCCCTCCCCGCGCACAGGGTCTCCGGGCTGGGCTTCGCAAGGGGGACCCGCAAGCGGGTCTAGCCGGCGCCCCTTACCGAGCCCCGGCTCCTCCTCTGCCGCCCGCCTCCGCCGCCGCCGGTCCGGCTTCCGAGCGCGCGCGCGACTTCCCGGCCTGCCGCTCCCCGCCGGGTCCTAAAGTCCAGCCCGCAGTGGCTCGCCGCGCCCGCTTCCCAAGAGGCCTCGGACCACGATTCCCAGCAGGCATCGCGAAAACCACGCCTTGGAAAGTATCGCGAGAAAGAAGTTCGCGTCTGGCAGGCCTTGATGGTGTAGTAGGGCGGGGCGTAATAGGGCACACCTGTAACGCCAATACTAAGGAGGCTGAGGCAGATCATTGCGAGCTCAACTCCAGCCTGAGGAACGTATGCTACTATGTCTTAAAAAAGAAAAAAGTAGACTTAACCCCGCATTTCTTTCCAGGAATAATGTGATCTCTAGAAACACTGGCAAAGCATGGAAGAATTTGTGTTCAAAAACACTGATTGGGGCCGGGGAGATGGCTCAGTGGAATAAGCGCTTCCCTGGCAAGCACAAGGGCCCGAGTTCAATCCCCGGTTCTGCAAAAAAATTAAAG